CCTCAACTTTTTTCCTAGGATATAAGACCAGATAACTAAGCTTTTTAAAATTATGCCTAAAATAATACCTGAATTAGGGTTTCTGTCTTTATATGCAAGGGTCCCATCTCTCCCAATAAAAGTGTTAAAAATTGATCTAGAAATATAATGTTTACAAACACTGATTATAATTTCACCTTGCTGCCAGGACATTCTTTAAAAATTAAGATGTATCTTTGGTTGCTGTTGAAATGGAAGAACAGTAGTCTATAGTAAGTTAGTATTGAGGATGAGAATGGGGGAGTACTTAAAAACATGACTTTTATACAAAATGAAGCTTAAAACATTAGCTTATGTCATTATCTTAGAGATTTTAAATCAATCTAGAGAGCATATCAAATTCTACAGTAAGACTGCTCTAATGACAGTTTTTCTAATTGGTTTTATTTCCTAAGATTATACCTTAAATGACTTGTATTGATTACATTTTATATGATGTGTAGCCGCCTTTTCCTGTGGTTATGGAGGAAACATGGGTTTTGAGGATTAAGGGAAAGGGTGGTAGAGGGGAGAGTCCTTGTCATTAAGTTAATTATTCAGGGGGTATGATGCCAATCAGTCAAAAGGCTGACAGTCCCTGCTGCTAATGTTAATGTATCTCTATGAAGTCAGAAACCATTATAGAAGTAAACTATTGTGTCAAAAGTAGAAATGACTATTTCTCTTTTTTTAAAATTAAGTTCTGTGCCCAGTGTGGAACTCAAAACTCCAAGATCAAGAGTCATATGCACTACCAACTGCCAGCCAGGCACCCTTGACTGTTATTTTTCTTTTTTTTTTTTTATTTACTTATGATAGTCACAGAGAGAGAGAGAGAAGAGAGAGAGAGGCAGAGACACAGGCAGAGGGAGAAGCAGGCTCCATGCACCGGGAGCCCGATGTGGGATTCGATCCCGGGTCTCCAGGATCATGCCCCGGGCCAAAGACAGGCGCCAAACCGCTGCGCCACCCAGGGATCCCTGTTATTTTTATTAAAATGTTTCTTAAAATGTTTGCCACAGCTCTATTTAAACTAGAAGGGAAAAAGACTGAATCAAGGGCAGAATTTTTTTGCCTTGTATAAGAGTTCTGTATATTTTTTGTTCCCATCTTCCCTTAAACTCCATCTCCCACTTTCTAATAATTTAAATTAATAATTTAAATCACGTGCCATTTTAAAGTACACTTCAGTGAGTGTTTGAAAGTGAAGTTAGATTTCTTATTGTGGAACTAAAAAGTATCTTAAAGGGTGGGGACAGAAGGCTGGTAAAAGAATATGTTGACCTGAGGGTAAACCTAGTTAGTCATTTTATAGAGAAGAGGGTGGGGTGCTGGAACAGACCTTTCCCAGTAGTGTTGCACGTAAAGCTTGTTCCTTGTTCTCCTTCACAGTAGCTTTCTGAGAGCTGTAAACTTGTGCCCTCACCACTACCCCCATAGGTCTCTACCCACCTTCTAGACCAGTAGATCCTAACTTTTACAGTGAGAACCTGGGGGGGAAAAAGACAAAATATTTGCAGGCCCATAGAATTTTTGTTTCATTCTATGATTAATAAAATGTATATGACAAAGTTTATATGAATTCCTCCAGTGACAGCTTTAAAGTGAGTAAAGTTTTTATTCGAGTAGCCAATGCTTGGTTGTTCCAGTGGGTTCTTAGATCCTTCCCTATAACTCCCGGGTCCCCTGGCTGAGGATCTACAAGTCCATGCCATTTAGTTTTCTCCAGGGCTCCTGTTTCATGCTTTAGGATTTCAACCACATTTGATAATTATTTCACTTGTATTCTTTTCTTAATATAACCCACCTTTATTCTCCATTTTTAAAGTTTAACAGAAGTGTGGCATTTTTTATTAGTTTTTTTCCTGAACTTTTAGAAAAGCTTACGCCCAAACTGAAAGCTGACTACAAACAAGTAGCCACCTTGATTTGAATTTCCAGTTATATCATAGGTGACACAAGCTCTAATGTTAAAACTTGTGTTCTAAACTGGTTGTCCTACTTCGTGTATACTGGTACCAGTGGTTCCCCAAAGCAACCAATACCTGTTTAAAGATCCCCATAGATTCTTAAGTCCCTTCTGAATATTCTAAATTCAGCCTGGCATGAAGGGTCAGGAATCTTGAAAGTTCCATAAGTGTTTGTTTTTTTAAGATTTTATTTATTTACTTTACCTACTTACCTACCTTACTTAGAGACAGAGACATAGGCAGAGGGAGAAGTAGGCTCAACGTGGGACTTGCTCCCGGAACTCCAGGATTATGCCCCGACCTGAATCAGGCAGACGCTCAAAGCTGTACCACCCAGGCGTCCCAAAAGTTCCATAGGTTATGTTGAGGAACAATGAAATTTGGAAATCACCTATTTTCTGTACAATCCATAAAAGCTGCTTATGGTGGTATACTGTTAAACATGTCACGTCAACATGTTGCCTCTAGGGTTAGAGGGACCTTACTGTTAAAGTTTTTTCTGGGTCTGTCTTCGCATTAGCAACCAAGCTGTGAGGATAACTGTATGGAATGCTGCCATTACTGGGTTTTGGATGGCTTTGCTTCTGCTTTGGGACTTGGTTCCTCATCTGTAAAAAGAGAGGTTTACAGCAGATGATTGTCCTTTGCCTTTTAGCCTTAGATACCATGAACTAGATTAAATAGGTTATCTGTTGTCTGCAACCTCTGTATCAGTGGTGTCTTCTTCACCTTGTTCGTCCACTTTGTAGTTAACTCTAGTTGGGTAAATAGGTGTCCTGACTGTATTGGCCAGTGTGGACTTTTTGCCCAAGTACATATATGCTGGATACAAACATGTAGGAAGACCAGATGACCAAGGGCCAGTTTTAACCTCAGGATATGAAGCTGTAATCAAGATAGTAAGTATCTTTTCACTAGAAGTTACTGCATATTCCTTGAAGTAGAGGGTTGTTTAAAAACTCTCCCTACTTCCCACCTTGTGAAATTATGGCCAGTTGACAATGTAAAAGTATCAAGTGATCCTTAATATCATTTAATGAGAGACTACTGTGGGTCTGTTCTACAGAGGTTATCTCCCCCCCCCCCGCCCCCATTTTAATTATCAAAACATTCTTGAGGGATCCCTGGGTGGCGCAGCGGTTTGGCGCCTGCCTTTGGCCCAGGGCGCGATCCTGGAGACCTGGGATCAAATCCCACGTCAGGCTCCCGGTGCATGGAGCCTGCTTCTCCCTCTGCCTGTGTCTCTGCCTCTCTCTTTCTCTCTCTCTGTGTGACTATCATAAATAAATAAAAAAATTTAAAAAAAATTAGAAAAAAAAAACAAAACATTCTTGAGAATTTGTGGTTTAGGTTTAGTGACCTTAAAGTCACACAGCTAATAAGTACTCAAGTCAGTGTCTAAGCTCTGTGCCTCTTGGCCAGTTTGGATCTACTCTTCCCGTTAGCCCATCTTTTTTATTTATTCATGAGAGACACACACAGGCACAGACATAGGCAGAGGAAGAAACAGGCTCCCTGTGGGGAACCTGAATGCAGGACTTGATCCCAGGACCCCAGGATCACAACTTGAGCCAAAGGCAGACTCACAACCACTGAGCTACCCAGGTACCCCCATTAGCCTGTATTCTTTTGTCGGTATTTTCTCCCTCCTTTCTTGCCAGCCACATCATGTTTTCTTCCCTAACTTTTGTTTCTTTTTGGTTTTCTTTTATAAACTCATCTGAAAGGGGAAAAAAAAAATCTGTGATGGGTTTGTGGAAAGTATAGGGTCACAGGCAGGTATTTTGCCCCCTCCTCCCACTTCCCTTTTTACTCTTTCTCTTAAATGGAGGAATTGAACTTCATCTCTAACCAATTAGCAGATGGCATCTTGAGGACAAGGATTTTTTGTCTTATTCATTATTAAAATCCCTACCATGTAACTTGGCCTAGAAGTACATTCAATAAGTATTTGAGTTCATACCATCCATTCATTTTAAAATGCTGTTTGCCTCTCTGTAGAAATTAGTCTGTGTGATTGGGATATAGAAGTCTCTCCAAGTAAAGACCTTTTTGTTGTTTGGCTGACATACATCATGATCCTTGAAGCAACAGTTGATAACTAGGTTTGAGAAATGTGAGCCACTTTAATACTGTCATGTCCATGCTGTGGGAAGTCTTTTTAAAATTAGTATCTGAAACCATTTCCCAAACTTGTCTTTTCCTCTGTCCTCAATACCTTAAGTCCTGGTATTGTTTACTTGTTTGGGCAGGTATATTAGGCTCTTCATTGGTCTTGGAATTGGAGGGTAAATTTTTTTATTAATAATTGTACTTGGATACAGAGCACTCTGCAAGCCAATACAATGCTTTGGAAGGGTATTATGGTATAACTAAATATAAATAACAGTGATGTAACAGGGAAAGGGATAAATTAACATCCCAAATCTAATATTTAGAGAACCTGGTTATAATTTTATACATTGAAATGCAAAATAAATAACTTGTCATTGGACACTCTGTCATCCTTGTGCTCTTCTCACCCAATATGGTTTATAATGGAGACCATACTGTAATCCATTGGATTTCCTCTTAGGGTAAGATTATGGAAATAGAAGAGCGAGGAACAAGAACCACAGTCAGTGGGTTAGAAATGAAACTTTGTGTTTAAAATGGTTATCAGAAATGACTACTGTGACCAAAAACCACTGAAATTTGTCACTAAAATATTGTTTATATTTTCTTATGAGGTATCGAGAAGGTTGAGAATTGAGGAATATCTTGCTTATTCACAGCTTAAGTAGGCTTAGAATGGTTTAAACATTCTTTATTATTCAGTTTACTTGACCTAAGGCTGATTGGTTTTTTTGCAGTCCAGAGTCACATTGTCTGAAAGACACTTCTGTTTGTGGAGCAAATCCACACATTAAACTAAAAGGAAAAGAGGAGGTCTTATTTTTTTCTTTTTTAAATACCCTATAAGAAGTTAGATGGGGCCACCATCTGCTTACCTTCTGATGTATTACTTCACAGTGCTGGTCCCAAAGGCGATAACATCTATGAATGGAGATCAACCATTCTGGGGCCTCCAGGATCCGTGTATGAGGGTGGTGTATTTTTCCTTGATATCACTTTTACACCAGAATACCCCTTCAAGCCTCCAAAGGTAAGAATTTCCCTAATTTATAGTCAAATTTACATACTGCCATGAGAGACTGTTGAATTTTAATCACAAAAGGTAGATTTCTGTTCTATCTTAATGAATCTTTAAGTACATTTGGATGGACATAAAATACTGTATGGGGTATAGGCAGGGCTTTGCCTCTTGGCAGAGACCATTTCTAGAAATATGTGCTTTGTTTTGATGGTGTTTAAAATCCTGCTGTTTTTAGTGACATAGCAACCCAGAATCAATCCTCTACTTTCAACAGGGGAAAAAGTTATTGAACAGTTAAAAGTATCTGTGCACAGAAATGACTACTGTGACCAGAAACCACTGAAAGTTGTCACTAAAATAATTAGGAAATCAGAATCTCCTACCAAAGCTTTGGATTCTGCTCCTTGTCATGTTTTGGCCTTGTTCAAATTCTTAATCTCCAGGCTTCAGTTTTCTCATCTAGGATTGTATCTCCTCTGATACTCAACAATTTATGATTCTTATTTACTAAGTGGTAATTTTTACTTTGGAATGATTCTGTGTATCTCACAAAAATAGGAACCAACTGCCGCGCCCCTCCCCCCCCAAGTAATCCAGACTCACATGACTTGTGTTAATTTGTCTACTGCTATGATCCTTACCCATTTCTGGCTCCTCACCTTTGGAGACTCCATTATAGTGATCCTGTAACCTAGGTAGACAGGATACCTGCAGGATCTAATGTAAAAGTCAGAAGAAGCAGAAACAAATCTCATCTTCAGATTATTATTATTTTTTACAGTGTTTACAGCTAAGCATCTTGCTTCTGTTAGTATCTTAGTTTGAATTTATTATAAAGCTTATTTTAAGGCTATGTAGTACTACCAGCTAACACAAGAGGTCAGCAATTAGCTATTTCAAACTTGAAAAATTAGGAAAACATTTAAAACATTAGTGAAACTGCTAAAGATGAATTTGGGAAAATAACCAAAGTTACCTTTTTTTTTGTTGGATAACTTTTGAAATGACAGAGTGTATCAATGAACACTTCTACTCTTAGATCTATTAAAGTCTCTTAACCTATCTGTATCAGCTTTAAAACTCTATTCATCTTTTAAAGAAACACTTAGTTTTAAATTAACAGCCACTCAATTGGAAAAGCAATTTAGTAAGAATTACATTGTTTGCTGTTTAAATTTTAATACTGTTTTTTTTTTTTTAAAGGTTACATTTCGGACAAGAATCTATCACTGTAATATTAACAGTCAAGGAGTTATTTGCTTGGACATATTAAAAGATAATTGGAGTCCAGCACTAACCATTTCTAAAGTTCTCCTTTCTATCTGCTCCCTTCTTACAGACTGTAATCCTGGTAAGGTTAATAATTCTTTTTTTTTTTTTCTTCCTTACCTGAAAAATACTTGTTTTGATAAAGTACAAAGCTTTTGAAGAACAAAAAGCAGGGATGCCTTGATGGTGTAGCTGGTTGGGTCTGACTCTTGGTTTGGGTTCAGGTCGTGATCTCAGAGTTGTGGGATCAGGCCCTGTGTTGGGCTCAGTGTGGGGTCTGCTTGGGATTTTTTTCTCTCCCTTTGCCCCTCCTGCTCATGTCACGCTTGCTCTCTCTCAAATCTTTTTTTTTTTTTAAGGGACAAAAACTAACCTTTTTTGAAAGAAAGTTTTAATCAAGAAAAGTTCAATCTACTAGTTGAAAAAGGCAAAAATTTCTATGCTCTAGGAACAAAGATTTACAAAATTGCCTTAGATTTTTACATTTGTCATACAGTTCCCCTAAACCACATACTTTTAACTAAATGTTGAGCTTCTTTGCTTAATAGATAGTGGTTATCGAACTGATTAGGGTGAGAGGAGGCTTAATTTCCTTTTATTATTAAAGATTTACCATAAAAGATTCTATTTAGGTTTCAACTTAATTGTTGGTTTTGACCTAGCAGCCTGGCTTTTTCTAGGTAACTAATGTAGAGGTAAATAGTGTTATATTGCAACAGCCCAGAGGACTTGAAGGAGCAGTCAGTGTGAACACAGCTGGATGTTCATCATAGCCTTAAACATTCCAGTTTTTATTGAACTTACTTAACACTCCAGTTGGGTGGTGGTTGTTGGGAGAAAAATACAATGAATTAAGGAGATGAAGCCATACTAGTACTAAAGCCTGAGCATTCTATTAAGTTTTCCCCTTGCATACTGTTTTAGAAAGAAAAAGTGCCCAGGAAAATGGCATTTCAAAACTGGTTTTGATCACAAATACTTTGGCTAAAATTTGAAACGGTCTTTTCCTTTCCTCAAAGTAATCTACATTTTTTTCTTCCAGCTGACCCTTTGGTGGGAAGTATTGCCACTCAGTATATGACCAACAGAGCAGAACATGACAGAATGGCCAGACAGTGGACCAAGAGATACGCTACATAAATTGGGTTTTCACAATTCTTACATTATTTGTCTGTCACAGAGAGAGCTGCTTATGATTTTGAAAGGGTGGGGGAGGGTGGGAGTTGGTAAAGAGTAGGGTATTTCTATAACAGATATTATTCAGTCTTATTTCCTAAGATTTTGTTGTAACTTAAGGTATCTTGCTACAGTAGACAGAAGAATTGGTAATAGCAAATTTAAAAACTGTCATTAGTTCTGCAATATTAGCTGAAATGTAGTACAGAGAATAGACATTTGGGTTCAGTTGCTTGTAGTCTGTAAATTTAAAATAGCTTAATTTTGTACAGGTTACACACATGGCCATTTAAAGTCCTTCCAAGACTACAATTTTTTTTTTGTTCAAAAAAATTGGAATTTCTTTTCCCTTCTTGGGAGGGAACATTGATATTTAACAGTTTTTAGAGACTGTCATCTCATATGTATAAAATGGATATGTGGCTATAAGACACCATATAGGAAATGAGTAGTTATGTATTTTATTTTATATGCCAATCTACTTTATTGTGACAAGATAAGAGGTTTGAATCACGACTTGTGAAAACCTGTAGTAAAATACCTTAAGCTGTTAACTGTAAGGTGTGGAATAGGAGTTGCTCAGTGGATTGGTTATATGTTGTGGACTACTTAAGTCTGCATTTGTTACTGTGCTAATAAACAATATTAAAACAAGCACCTAACACTGTTGTATTCAATTACTTTCTTCTGCCTGTGTTTGTAGTTTGCAGATTCTTCTAAACTTAATAGGGCTTTGCTACTGAACAACCTACAAGTAATACAGATGATAATTATCAAGGACCTAGGTTAGGGTTGGTATTCTTCTACTCTGCTTATGAGGCATCTCAGAAAAGACATCTCCCTTAGAGGGCAGTTTGGCAATACCTAAGTGTACATATATCCACCAGTTCTGTTTCTCTGCACATCTCGAGAGAAACTTTAAGTCATTGTAAAAGAATCCATCTGTGTAAAAATACATAGGAAAAAACTGGGATCAACCCTAGGGAATGACTTATCTGAATAATTTTCTGGCAAAAAAAAAATATTTGTGATGAGGAATTTCAGCCAATTAAACAGGAGAAACACTAGCTGATTTACAAGTTTTATATTATGCAGTTCTTCACCTCCCAGAAATGAACCAATTGACTTTTTAAAATTCACTGAACCTAGCTTTAAAAGTATTCCACTTAAGAAGTTACAGTTTAGGGATCCCTGGGTGGCGCAGCGGTTTGGCGCCTGCCTTTGGCCCCAGGGCACGATCCTGGAGACCCAGGATCAAATCCACGTCGGGCTCCCAGTGCATGGAGCCTGCTTCTCCCTCTGCCTGTGTCTCTGCCTCTCTCTCTCTCTCTCTCTGTGTGACTATCATAAATAATAAAAAATAAAAAATAAAGTTACAGTTTATAGGGCAGCAGCTGGCTCTAGTGATAGAGACTCTTAATCCTGGAGTCATGAGTTGGGGGTAGAATTTACTTTTTTAAAAAGAAGTAGCTGAGGGGCGCCTGGGTGGCTCAGTTAGTTAAACATCTGACTCTTGATTTTGGCCCAGGTCAGGGTTGCCAATTAAAACATTAAGTAGCTTTGCTTCCTACTTTTAAAATTAGTTACAGTATTGTTAACCTGCAAAACACAATTAGTCCCGCTGCTTGAATATCGCCACAATCTTCAAAGAATACTATAGCACAGACTACAATATCTAACCTGTAGTCCAGTATTTTTATGATACGCTTTATTCCACATGACTGTGTCTCCAGAAAACTATTGGAGAAGGTAAAGTAATACTTGTTGAAAATGGGAGCTTAAGTGTCCTTAAGTGCTTAGTAGTTTTCTAAAGAAAGAGCAAAAGCTTTGAACATACTTGCTACCACCTGCTACCCTGGGTCATGCTAAACATAGAATTTGAACAAAGCTAAATCATAGGTTTTGTTCTACTTAGCTAGGTCTTCAAGAGCTGTAATTTAGTTTAACACTTAAACTGTTTACTGTTAGTGATCTAAAAATATCATTTTATAATTCTAGACATTAGATAATTAATGAACTTCTTAAAAAGAAAGTTATAGGGACACCTAAGTGGCTCAGCGGTTGAGTGTCAGCCTTTGGCTCAGGGCATGATCCCAGGGTCTGGGATCGAGTTCCACATCAGCCTCCCGACATGAGTAGCCTGCTTCTCCTTGTACCTATGTCTCTGCCTCTCTGTCTCTGTGTGTGTGTCTCATGAATAAATAAATATTTTTAAAAACCCCACAAAGTTATATTTGAGCTAAGAAGTTGCATAAAGTTACAGAGAACAATGGCTTCTGAAATAAGTTGGGGGTAATGGAGCTCTACTACTCATAGGTATATCAGCATACCACCCAGACTTTATTTTACCGTTCGGACAAGTACAACAAATTTAAACAACAAAGGTACTAAGTTCAGGGATAAGTTTCAAACAATGACAAGGCAAATATATTATTTCATATCAGACAATAAATTTAGCCCAAATAATTTAATTCTAACCTAAAGTGCATTAAATTACTCCTTAAAGGTTTCCTAAGGACCAAAGGTAGGTGATGCAAATGGCCTGTTTTAAATATGCTCACAGACACTTAAAGGCAATCATTATTCAACAGTTGTAGCATTACTGATTTTTAGTTCTCCGAGCTAGAATTCCCTTTGTTTTTCCTCCCAGGCAAAGGAAAGCTTGATTTGCTCTGGGGCTGGGAAAGTTTGCTGGCTAAGAGAGTGAATGGCTCAATCAGAGTTCTCCGATCTGTAACTGTTACCTCCCACAGGCGTACTTTCTCACTTCTCGCCCATTGCTGTGCCACCTCAGTATCCACTTGTCTCTGCTCAGAAAGGTCGATTTTGTTTCCTAATACGACAATTGCTACCTAAAAGGAAAATAAAAAAGATTATGCTTTGCCAACATCCGTTCCTAGGTAAAAGAGAAAAAAACAAGAAAATTGTCCTATTGAATAAAACTGCTTCAAAACTGATCTTCATATGTGACCTGAGTCCAAACTAGCAAGACATTAACCTCACTCTTCCTGAATGCGTTTTCATTAAAAACGCAGATGCTCTACAGCTTGTTAACTAGGAAACATTTTAAATGAACAGTAGGTGAAGTTACGTATGAATAGAAGCTAGACTTGGGGAAATTACTATCTAAGAAACAGAACAGTTTGAAATGTGTCTGCATTTCAGTGTAGCTATTATAATTGCTGTTTGGGAAATCTGCAATACATACTTCAAAAAAACAAGATTCTTGGAGCCGTGAGAGTTTACCCCTAGAATCTAAGTTCTATGAGAACAGGAATTATTCTGATCACAGACATGTGCATAATGCAAGCACTAATATCTGTTGAATGTATGGACCCGATAGCATTTTACACTAAAGGTAAGACAATCATTCATTTAAGCTTGAATGTTTATTGCACACCGTGCAGTGTCAGGTCACCAGAACACAGTGGTCACAAGGCAGTCAAAGCCCAGGAGGAAGGGAGGTCTGGAGGAGAGAATATCCAATTTTCGGCCTTTGACTATATAAGTAGACAATAAAAATTACAGAAAGTAGAAGGGCAGTAAGAACTGCTAGAGGAGGAACCTCTTGAGGAGCAGCTTTGAACTAGGACACTTAAGCCATTGCTGTGTTCTTGCCTTAAAACTGAGCTGAGTTCCAGTTAGACCATGCCTCCCAGGTAGGATGGAACAACAGGCCCCTAAGCTCTTTTTGGCAAGTCTTCTGTTCCTTCATTTCTCAACAGCATCTATCCCCACAGGCCCTCCTGCTACTCTTCATCACCCACATTTTCATCTTCACATGTATCTCTTTGATCTCTGATCTCCCATCTCCCTCTCCCATGCAGCTGCAGAAACTGCTCCCTGTTGTCCCTTTACTTTAACAAAATCTTTTTACATCCCCATCTCTGCTTTGAATGTTCCCTTCACTTTTCCTAGCTGAAACTGGCTCAGCTCTGTAGTATTCTCACTACCACAGTGGGCACAAGGGATGTAGGGGGTGTCCTTGTCCCTCAATGCTGTCTCCAACAATGTCCTCTAAGAAGGCTAAAATTGAAGGCTGGTGCTATTAACCTGTACTGTTTCCCACCCCCCACTCTTGCTACTCATTACAGACCTGGCTCATGGTCACCACCACACTACTTTTATCATAAGTCCTAATGACTTAACTAGCCACATGGATGACCTTTCCCAAACAGCCTTGATCATCCTCCTGACTTGTTCGGCCATCCACTCCCATGAACACATCCTAGCTCTTGCCATTATAATTGCTCCCCTCCATGGTCTCAATTCCAGAATCCCACTCCCACTTCTACCTTCCTAGTTCATGCCTAACACTCTGATTGCAACAATCCTCAACACCAGAAGAACCTACAGTCCCGCTGGCTCTCATACCTTTATCACTGTCCTTCAGCCCCTCTCCTGTCCTCAGTTTCTGGGCCAGTTCAGATTCTTTTAATTTATTACCTTGCCGCCATCATCCCATTATATTCACCTGGTCAACATTCCATCTTAAATTTAACTATTAACTGAACTGCGTCTATACCCTTATTTAATATAGATGGAAGAAAAAAACGCAGCTCTGCTGGCTGGTCCCAATCCATAACCACGGGCTTTTTTTTACTTATTTATTTATTTAAAGATTTTGTTTATTCATGACACACACACAGGCAGAGACACAGGCAGAGAGAGAAGCAGGCTCCATGCAGGGAGCCTGATGTAGGACTAGATCCTGGGTCTCCAGGATCATGTCCTGGGCAGGAGGCGCTAAACCACTGAGCCACCCGGCTCCCATAACCACGGACTTTAAAAGTGATTTGGTGTTCTCCAACAAGTATTAACAGCTCCTACCTTGGCCCTCTCAACCTCCAACATCTCTTCCTCCCCACCTCTCAGCTGATGTCCATACTATTTCAGTAAGAAAACAATCAACACTTTCACCTGCATCCACCACATCTAACTACCATCTTCTAGAACCCATCCTCTATCCCAGATAAGACTGTCACTCCAGCAATCATTTTTCTCCCCATCAATTTTCTCCTATTGAATCATTCCATTAGCAGGCAAACACTAGCTCTCTTCTAAAAATCCTCTTTTGCACTTCCTTCTCCAGCTCGTTTCCTTTTATTAGACAATATACTTACTCTTTTGACTCAAAATTCCTTCAAAGAGTCATCTTTGTGTGTACAAACCTTCTATCCAGGCCAACCAAACTTCATCTCACTGTTTTACTGTAATAGTTCTTAAGACGTCCCAAGTTTCTAAAGGCTGGCCATGTCTTTTTCCTCAGCTTTTCTGACCTATCTGATCTGCACCATGGCACAGTTTGATCACTCCCTAGTTTTTAAAGTGGTTTCTCCTCAAAGGATAACTGTTTTAAGTGTTCCAGAGCCATAGCATTTCACAAAACTCCTTGCTTCTCACCTTGTCCCCCAACTATGTTGTCTATTATCAACACAGCAGCCAAAGTGAACATTTTAATACAAGTCAAAAGATGTTTAGCTTTACTCATATTAAAGGAAAATGAAACTACTGAAGTACCATTTTCACCAAGAAGATTCACAAAATCCATAAGCACACACTGTTGTCAAGACTAGAGAAACAGGCACTTTCATACCATGGCTATGGAAGGTAATTTGGCAATATATCCTTTGATTCAAGAACCCCATTTTGGCTGATCTTACAACTCTACTGTAAAATGTACAAAATAATAAATGTGTAAGATTATTCATTGGAGTATAGTTCATAATAGCAATCATTACTATAAGCCCAAGTGTCCATCAATTTGGAACTGGTTAAAGTAAGATACATCCACACAATGAATATGCACCAGTTTTAAAAAAAGGGATCTGAGTACTGCTATGGAAAGGACTCAACATTATATGAAAAATGTTAAGGTGCAGAACACTATGCTACTTTCGGTGTAAGAAAGCAAGTGTGTGTGGGGAACCTGTCTGCTTGTATTTATATAGAAAAACTTTTGGAAGGATGCCCCAACACAAGTAGTATAATATTTAAAAAGCATGCTTGAGGGGCACCTGGCTGGCTCAACTGTTAGATCATGACTCTTGATCTGAGGGTCAGGAGTTTAAACCCCTTGTTGGGCACAGAATTTACAATCAATCAATGAATAGATAAATGAATAGTACGCTTGAGATAAAAGAACTTGGTGGTTGAGGACAGGGGTGGAAACTAGAACTCACAATAGTCCTTTTTTATGTCATTTTTATTTCTGAACCATGTGCAAACATTACCTATTCAATTTTTTAAAATCACACATGGAAATAAATAAATAAATGCAACCTAAGCTAGATCATATCTTTCCTGTTCTCAAAATCAATCTGATCCAAAGTGTTGTCCTCATCTCCTACCCCATACTCTTCGTAGCCCATTTTGGCCTCCCTGTTTTGTTTTGTTTTGGCCTCCCTGTTGTTCCTGAACATGGTAAAGCAAACTTCCCCCGATCCTTGCACCAGCTAGTCCCTCTACCTAGAGCATTCCTCCTCCACATGGGCTTGGCTCCCTCCATCACTTCCTTCAAATCTCTGCTAAAAGTCACCTTTTCAGGGAGGCCTTCCGAGATTGCCCTACAGAGAATAGTACCCTCACACCCTGGCTCTACTTTACTTTTCTACATAGCATCTGACTCTTCATGATATTCATTTGTGGTCTATTGTCAGTGCCTTACCTAAAACAATTCCAGGCAGGTAGTAGTTGTTCGATAAGCATTTGCTGAATGAATGTGCTTCCTAAATCTCCCTAACAATCATACGAAAAAGATACTATTATTATCCCTATTTTATGGTTAAGGAAACAGGCAGAAAGTGGAGAAGCAGAACCAAGATTCAAGTATCAAATATGAGTGTTCATTGAATCACTCTTTCAACTTTGGTGGGGGGATGGGCAGGAAGGAGAGTAAGATGGATACTCTAGAAAATAACAACAGCATTTATCTGTTTAGGTGGGAAAAATGGAAAACGGGTGGGAGGAGCGCATCTACTACTTGCCTCTGTATAAGACTGAACCTTATGATTATAATCTATTCGCATAGGAAATAAGTATTCAAAATAACAAAATATCAATAACCCAGATGTCCTTCAACAAGAATGGTTAAATAAATTTTGATACATAAATAAATACCATGGAATATCACTCAGCAATAAAAAGGAATGAACTACTGATACATGCAATAACTTCGGTGACCCCCCAGAGAATTATGCTGAGTGAAAAATGCTAATACCAAAAAGTTACACATTGTACAAGTTCATTTATGTTAACAGTCATGAAATGACAAGGTTTAGAAATGGAAAACAGATTAGTCGGGATTAAGAGGGTGAGGATAGAAGGAAAGTGGGTGTGGCAAAAAAGAATAATGGGAGGGATCCTTGCAACGATGGAACTGTTCTATGTCTTGACTATAAAAATAAATATCTTGGTGGTTTTATATTATACTAGCTTTGTACAACACTGGGGAAACTGGGTAAGGAAACTATTATTAAAATTGTATGTGAACCTACAATTATCTCAAAGTAAGTTTAACATAATAAATAAAATATAAAAATCTAGGTTAAGAATATCTAGCCAGTGCTGCTAACCAATATATTATATGGTTTCCTAGATGACATGGTGTCAACCATGTGAAGATCTGTAGAAAGAGCTGCAATCAGAGTTCCAGGGAGAGAACCAGCAATTAACAAAGACTTAACAGGAACAAATCATGTTGTAAAAAAAAAAAAAAACAAAAAGTAGACCACTGTCCGTCCGTGGAGTACAGTGACAGAGGAATAAAATGATAAAAATAAGACAAAAAGGATAGGTATGGGCTAGATGATTTAAGACTACAGATCATGGTAAGGATCTTATTTTTAAGTGATAAATGAGTAGAATCCAATCTATTTATTTATATGTATTTATATTCATTAATTTATTTTCCACTAAGGCCGAAAACAAGAATCCTATTTAGCCAATGAGACAAAGAGAACTCTAGGAAACCGTGATCCCAAAGAATATGAAGTGAACTATGTAGTACTTGAGATACAGTGTCATTAAAATTCAACTTACAAATGGTAACAAGCAAAAGCAAAAAGTCAAACACTGGTCCTGACTGAATTCATTAAATCCTGTATTTCCTGGGCTAAGAAAAAAATATTATGACAGTTAGAGAAACTGAATACAATTGAATGCTTTTTAAATATTGTAACTGCCCCAAAGTCCATGCTACGATTTAAACAGTATTATAATTCATAGTTAGCATTTTTTTTTAATTTTTATTTATTTATGATAGTCACACACAGAGAGAGAGAGAGAGGCAGAGACACAGGCAGAGGGAGAAGCAGGCTCCATGCACCGGGAGCCCGACGTGGGATTCGATCCCGGGTCTCCAGGATCGCGCCCTGGGCCAAAGGCAGGCGCCAAACCGCTGCACCACCCAGGGATCCCATAGTTAGCATTTTTAACAAACCCACTTACCTCCTTTTTGTCTTTAAACTTATCAATTTCTTTCTTCAGAAGCTCTACTCTTTGAAAGGATTCAAGGTTATTCACACTATACACAAGAACAAAGCCATCAGCAAAGGAAAAATAATGCTTTGGTAGCTCTACGCCTTCCTGTAAGCCTCTGGTGTCATAAAGATGTAACTGTTCCTTTACTCCTCGATCCGTTTCCACTGAAGCCATATAAACATCTTCCATTGTTTCACAATCTTCCATTCCTGGGATTAAAAAGAAATTACTCTTATATTGAACCATTACATCATATACTTGAAATTAATAGAATGTTAATTCAATTGTACCTCAATAAATACTATTCTTTTTAGATAACTCAGTACCAATTGGTATTTTCTTGTCCTTTAGAAGTTGGCTTTCTAGAAGTTTCCTTATTTACTACATATGAGTCATATTTCCATTTACTAAAATTCTTTAAAGTAAAAGGTAGCTGTTATAGTAAATGAACAAAGTGTATTAAAATATATTTCCTCTAAATAGAAATAAAGTTTGGCACCTGAGTGGATTGGCTGGTTAAGAATCTGCCCTGAACTCAGATCATGATCCTGGGTTGGAGCCCTGAATCAGGAGTCTGCTTTTCCCTCTCCCTCTGCTGCCCCCCTTCCCTGCTTGTCTTCTCTCTCTCTCAAATAAATAAAATCTTAAAAAAAAAAAAAAATTTGGCAATGACACTATTTGGCATTTTTAAAAAGTAACTGTTACCAGAGTCCAAGAACTTAGTACTGAAATTGGAGAGTTAAAGGCTGATTTTAAAAGTAGCTTCAAGGAGGCATTTGACAGGACGAGCACTGGGTGTTCTACTATATGTTGGCAAATTGAACTCCAATAAAAAAAATATACAAAAAAAAAAAAAAAAAGCTTCAACAAGTAGCTCCATTTTCTTCTCCATCAGAGCTGAAGACAGAACCTGGGGTCACTTTGCTGCCTTTATTCTGTACAACTTCCAGTATTTCCAGAGTCTGTTTAAGGGACTCAAAAATTATTATGTCCTGTCTGGGCCTAAGCACCAGGCTTTTGCTTCAAGTACTTACTGGGCATTTATATGTGAATGTCATGTGACTACTTCAAACTAACAAAATTTATCTTTCCTCCCCACACTTGTTTGTACTCCTTGCTTTCTTCCCTTGATCGTCATCTCCCTGGGCAATCTTCAGAGTTCTTGCTGACCAAGAAAAGTTATCAAAAATCAGCCACTCTGCTGCAGAAACACCTGCTTAATCCGTTGCCTCCCTCATTCCTGTTGGCTTGTTATCTTCACCTGAACTATGCAATTAGCTCGGTAAACACCTGGTAAAAGACTAATCTCCTCAAATTTCACGGAAATGTCAACTCTATGGATCCTCTCCTGATTATCCCAATTTTCTGCTTCTACTGTGCCTTGTACCAGTAATATCATCTTATGCTTCAATGTCTTTATCTGTCCCCTCAAAAGCTGGACTGTAAACTCTGGGGGCCAAGACTGTGGCTAATGTCTTTATAGCTCTGAGGACTAACAAAATGACTTATATACATTGGAAGTCCTTAAGAAGTGTTTGCTGAATGAGTAAATGAATGAGATCTCATAATTGATGTCCAAGTTTGTTTTCTTCTGGCCTGAGTGATCCTTTTAAAATGCATTTTCCTTTGTTTCATTTTTTAAAAAGATTAATGAGAGATGAGAGAGAGAGAGAGAGAGAGAGAGAGAGGCAGAGACACATGCAGAGGGAGAAGCAGGTTCCATTCAGGGAGCCCGACACGGGACTCGATCCCCGGTTTCCACAATCAGGCCCCAGGCTGAAGTTGGCACTAAACCGCTGAGCCACCCCCTTTGCTGCATTTGTGTGAGTTTTGTCTCTTCAACTGGTCTTGCATCCTTGAGAGAAACCACTGTGTACACAGCAAGTATTCAATAATCATTTGTTGATAAGGGAATTAAGGGGAGATTAACACTTTGAATTTTAATCAACAGTGAAGAGGCTTATAAGGTAAGTCCCAGGAACTATCTTCATACTTAAATGTGAGGTATATCCAAAAATAAAATCATGTGGATAACATCCTGTATCAATAAAACATACAGACATATCCCAGAGATATTGCTGGTTCTGTTCCAGACCTTTGCAATAAAGTATTACAATAAAGTTAGTCTCAAAGTTTTGGCTTCCCAGTGCATGTAAAAGTTATGTTTACACTATTGCATAAATGAGATAAATGCGGTCTTGGATAAATCTGCCATGACCACTTTGATCTGAAACCGTCTAGAGCGCAGTCTTCCCTGCTTTTCTTTTCCTTTCTTTCTTTCCATTCATTCATTCATATTTTATTTATTCATGAGAGACAGACAGAGGGGCAGAGACACAGGGAGAAGGAGAAGCAGGCTCCATGCAGGGAGCCTGATGCGGGACTCGATGGACTGGATCCCGGGTCTCCAGGATCAGGTCCTGGGCTGCAGGCGGCGCTAAACCGCTGAGCCCCGCGGGCTGCCCCCCACCCCTTCTTTTTGTTCAGTCACACCCTTAAGCATACCCCCTGGGGCATAACGTCTTTGATCTGCTCTGGGAAATAGGACTCTGATTCTCAAACATACCTTCCTAGGTGGTCTCCCAGCCTGTACTCCTAGCCTCTAAGGTTGTAAAAGCAGGTCTTCTAGGAGGTGGGGTTGCAGAGATCTACTTGTCCTGCAGCTGCCCAAGAGAGACTTTTGTCCAGAAGCCCCTTTAATGAATCACTTTTCTGTCAAGTTGGATTTGGCCTCTTTCTTCAGTCTTTAATGGCTCCTTTGGCCTTTGAAGATTATTTTGCATACACCTCCCTTTCACAGAACAATTGGTGAGCCAACCAGGCGGAGCCCACAGACTGAAGAATGGGCAAGGGAATAAAGCTTCAGTTGGGGGAACCCTGGGGTGGCAGACTACATCAATGTAGGAAGGCAGAATCTGGTTGCTTGATGCCTGTGGATTGCTGCATGAGGACGGGGACACCGGGAAATGCCAAATGGATTACAGCATTACTACAAAGTCGCATGACCCACTGGGATAAGGAAGGCTGCCAAGCAGTGGCTATGGTGGGCTGGCTGCTCCTGTGGGCCCTTCAAGTGGACACCAATGCCTGGCTAGTGGCAGAAATGAAGAAAGGCAGTTGAAGAAAGAATTACAAATGGAGAAGGACAGGAGACTAGCCACATCCCTTTTGGCTTCTAACTTGGTCGGTACTATCTAAACTAAGGATGCACAAATTGAGACCTCAGTGGGTCTGTCACTTTGTGCACACAGGGGGAACATAAAATGTGGCAACCTCGGATTACAGCCATCACTTGAAGCCAGCGTGGGATGCTAAACCATGGAACTCATGGGAAACAGCTCTGTACGCCAGGGAAGTAGGAGGTGTTTTCCATAGAAGGTATGAAAAATGGAGATGCTTTTTTATTGAGAAATAAAAAGTAATGTCCTAAAGAGCATCTGGTGGTCTGAAGAGGGGGGGGAAAAAAGACAAAATCAGAAGTTGTATAAGGTTTGTGGAAAAGGAATATTTGGAGAGGAATTTTATGTGTGGTCAAGCTGGCTAAGATTAAAATGAATTTATATTAAAATGGGTTTAATATTAATCATAAGCTGGTGAAAAATTAGAATTGGTTTTCTGTTAAAAGGACATATAAATCTTAAATGTATTCCCCAAATATAAGTGGAAAAAGCTTAAGTCACCTAGACAGTTTACCTTATTCCACCCACCAAAAAAACAAATTTAGATCCAACATTTATGAGTGAGTTTTGTACCTATTTCATGGCAGTAATATTAAAATAGAAGCTATAAAGTCTCTGTTTATGTGTGTCTGTAAGTATGTGTTATAGTTGTATAATATTTTCTAGTAATTATTATATAGTTATATATATTTCTAGTAATAATTATATAGTTATATAATATTTTCTACTTCTGGACGGTACTGCTAAAATTTGTTTTTAAAAAAAGGCTCTACTTAATTGGCATAAAAAAAGTGCTTATACAATTTATATTCTCATATATAATAAAAATTAACCCAAATGTCTTTTAAGTTCATGTGATCTAAGATAATCTTTCTTAAAGTTCTGAGTTTGTTGGTTTAATTAAAACAAGCATGTTTTCAGAGTTATCAACATCAAATACAATTCCAAGCATCAAATTTACCCATTAAGTTCATGTCTATCTATTCCAATTTGTCAGCAAAAATAACTTAGAATGCTGGTTGACTTTGTCTGAGGTTTCATGAAATTTTCAGAGGTCATCTAAACATAATTGTTAGGAACACACAGACAGAATAAATTAAAAAAATTAGGTAAACTTTTTAACTAGCTTCCCAAATCTTCTTGGTGCTTTGGAACTTTAAAGTTTTGCAAAATGAAGAATGCTGGTGTAACTGTTCCCCACTGCTTAGTTTTTACTAGAAATTAATGTTTCTGAGGTTTAAGAATTTTAAATCATATATGTAATTAAAACTATTACAAATAGGAAGGTTAATCTAAAACAAAGGTGACATTAGGGTAACCCAAAAGCAAATATAGCATGACCTGCTGGCAGTGTGCATAAACAGAGAAAAGACAGCCAGCCAACTAAATGCTATTCTAGTGGGTTTATAGAAGTTTACTTCTGCTCAGCAATTTAGGCCACTGTCCTCCATACCTCCCCTGGAAGAAAAAAACCTCAGCCACAAGTGACTTCTTACCAGGGCCAGGTACTCCCTCGCCTGAAAGACCAGGGTTGGGACCAACGTTGCTTCCATGTGAGAGCCATAGGGGGCACCTAGAGGCCCCACATACAGTTCACAATTTACTGGACACCATAAAAATAAGCAAAAAAACATGGCCTTAGTGGATACCAGAGCAGAATGCACCCTAATTCATGGCAATCCAGAATGGCATTCAGGCACCCAGGCAGCCACCAATAGTTACCAAGGGAAAAGCTTAAGGGTGAAATGCACAACAGCATGCCTGAGAATAAAAGCACCTTGTAAGGTTTTCATTTCTCCAAAACTGGAGAATATATTAATCATAGATATTCTTCTGGGGGAAAAAATACTACAAAGTTCTGTAGGAGAATTTACTTTTGATTTAAAGTAATTAGAACTCTCTTTAAGGGGAAATGGAAATTGGGATCCTATGTTACCCCTTCCTCAGGTTATAATTGTAAAGCAATACTGGTGGTTAGGAGGAGTCAAGGAAATATCTGCCACTATATGGGAATTACAAGAGTACAAATAATCAAACCAACACAAAATCCCACTAATAGTGCTGTATGGCATGTGAAGAAACCGGATGGCACCTGGAGAATGACCATGGGTTGTAGAGAACGAAATAAGGCTGTCCCTAATATTACCCAAATTACTGAACAGATGGTACATGGTGTTGGCTCTTACTATGTGGTTTTGGATTTAGCTGATACTTTTTTTTTTTTTAAGATTTTACTTATTTATTTGAAAGAAAGAGAGAGCAAGCAAGTACACATGAGTCGGGGGAGCAGCAAAGGGAGGAGGAGAGAGAATCTCAGGCAGACTCCCGGCTGAGCATGGAGCCTGATGTAGGACTCGATCCCCACAATCCTGAGATCATGATCTGAGCTGTAACCAAGAGTCAGTGCTGAAATGACTGAGCCACCCAGGCACCCTCCACAATGCTTTCTTTACTATTCCTTCTGGTTTGAGGCTGCAGATAATAAAAGCAGCCAATGGGCTGAATTGAGATTTGCCTAGATGGTATGTATGTATGAACCCTGACCTCTTACACTCTACACGGATAGTTAGGCTGTCCATAAGGGCCCAATGGGCTTGGGATGATTGGGAAGTTTTACAGAAACCACTATGGGGAAAATTATGGAAGAATATATGAAATATAGGACCCTGCTGCCTCCCATACTGTTTTCCATGTCTCAGGCATAGGCGTGTCTCACCCACTGGGAATACTGAGGCAGACACCTTAGCAAAAATCAGGGCCCTTACCTCCATGCAAAGTTCAGAATTGGCTGCATGCTTTTATAAGCACAGTGGGCATTGCAATGCTAAGGTTGGTTGAAATATAACGAAGAGAACTGGCATGCCCCTGTACTATACTGACATCTTAGCAGCATCAGCAATTGCCTGATCTGCTCCCATTTGAGACCTAGGAAAATGGTCTTGTAGTTCCACACACAAGACACATACATCATGCAATCCATCTGGTTTTAGACTGCCCAATTGATTATACTGGCCCTCTACCCATGAGTCAAGGTAAAAAGAACACTATAACTTGAATGGATATAGCCAGGGCTCAACCAAGCCCTTCTCTGTGAGAGCCAATTAAATGCCACCATCCACGCCCTAGAAAAACTTAGTGTCATCTTCAGATATCCTCCAAGGATAGATTGTGATAGGGAAACACATTTCATTGGATGTGGTGCGAGGACATACATGGGTGGTTTCATTTACCCTTTAATCCAGGCCACCAGCCTAATTGGAAAGACGAATGGCATTCTTAAAGCTCAACTCAGAGCTCTCTTACAGGCATCATAGTTGCACAGATAGACAACTCTTGCCAGAAGCCATACACTTGTTAAGTTCCACTGAGACCAACCATCTGTGGCACCACCCCAAATGCGTGGTTAGGTACCAAAACCAGTATGCCGGGCAGACTGGCTGGCTCAGCAGTTTAGCACCACCTTCAGCCCAGGGCATGATCCTGGAGACCCAGGATCGAGTCCCACGTCGGGCTCTCTGCAGGAAGCCTGCTTCTCCCTCTGCGTCTCTCATGAATAGATAAAATCTTGAGGGAAAAAAAAAAAAAACAGCATGCTTAGGACTATTGCCATCCAGAAAACGAGGCTGAGACCCTGGTTACCGAGTTAATAGCAGGCCAGGACAACTGTGGTTCCAAGCTCCTCAGCCCATCCTCTTGGGAGAAGGGATTAAACAGGATTAAAGTAGTAACTTCCCCCAGAATAATAGGCTATTTCTTGCCAGAGTGAAAAATGTCCCAGAGGGCTAAGGTGGTCCCCATTGTTCTTGCTGGAGTTGGGGCCAACACATACACATTCCAGACAAGCATCCATGTTGAAAGGCATTATAGTTGCTTACCTAACATGGTTGTTTGCACCACCTTTAATTTACATGTACAGACATTTGGCCCCAGGGTAACATGTCTGGTATGTTGCAACTGCTCTTGTACCTCAGGCCAGCTCTGTTCTCCTGACAAAGGTCAAAGGCACTACCGTCATCAATAGAGGGAGAGGATCTCCCCCAGAGAAGTGCCTACTAAGCAATTTATTCTTTTATCCTTTAAGCCTGCTGCTTCTCTTGTTATGGTAAAGGAAACCCTTTCCTACAATGGACATGGATATATGTGGGATGGTTTACAACGGGATTCATGCTGGATATGTGGTTTGCTCCCCTTTTGATAGGTCTCTGCTGCTATCTGTATTGCTGCTGTGGTTTATGCCTTCAACTTGAACACAGTATGGCAAAGGACCCTATTGCCGAGACCCGCTCTCTGATGGCTCAGGGACTACTGCAGAAGAGGTGGGGGCATGGGAGATTGTAAGAGCCAGATTTGAGGGGTGAAGTGTGTGAACCAAACTAACACCATCTTGGACAAATCCACCATGATGACTGCTCTGTGACCAGAAGCCTTCTTAAGCAGAGTTTCCCACCCCTGCCCCCACATTCCTTCTTTTTAACTTATTTTTTTTTAAAGATTTTATGTATTTATTCATGAGAGACACAGAAAGAAAGGCAGAGACACACACAGGCAGAGGGAGAAGCAGGCTCCACACAGGGAGCCCGATGCAGGACTCAATCCTGGGACCACAGGATCATGCCCCGAGCCAAAGGCAGACGCTCAACCGCTGAGCCACCCAGGCATCCCTCCTTCTGTTTAATCATACCCTTAAGTAGACCCTTGGGTCATAATGTCCTTGATCTACTCTGGAGATACAGCTATGATTCTCAAACATTCCTTCCAGGTGGTCTCCCAGCCTGTACTCCTCAGCCTCTATGGCTGTAGAAGCAGGTTTTTTGTTTTTTTTTAAGATTTTATTTATTTATGAGAGACACAGAGAGATACAGAGACATAGACAGAGGGAGAAGCAGGCTCCCCATGGGGAGCCCCATGCAGGACTTCATCTGAGGACCCCAGGATCATGACCTGAGCCAAAGGCAGATGCTCAACCACTGAGCCACCCAGGCATCCCTGTAAAAGCAGGTCTTATGGGAGGTGGGGTTGCAGACATCTACTTGTAGCTACCCAAGACACACTTCTGTCTGCAAGTCCCTTTTTAATAAACCATTTTTTGTCAAGCTTGACTTCTTGGCTTTTTGTTCCCCCAGTCTTTTGGCTCCTTCAGCATTTGGACATCACTTTGCATGTACCTCCCTTTCATACTGGTCTATTAAGTGTGCAATAGCATCAGGTCTAAAAAATGTACATACCTGAATTAAAAAATACTTTACTGATAAAAAGTGCTAACCATCACTTGAGTTTTCAGGGAGTTGTAATCTTCTTGCTGGTGGAGGGGACTGCTTCGCTGTTGATGCCTGCTGCCTGGTCGGGGTGGTGGCTACTGAAGGCTGGGGTAGCTGGGGCAGTTTCTTAAGACAGAACAATGAAGTATACCACATCAAACGACTCTTCCTTTCACAAATAATTTCTCTGTAGCACATGATACTGTACAACAGCATTTTACCCACAGCAGAACTTCTTTCAAAAATTGGAGTCAATCTGGGGCACCTGGCTGGCTCAGTTGGTAAGGCATGCAATTCTTGATCTCAGGTTCATGAGTTCAAGCCCTTACACTGGGTATAGAGCTCACTTAAAAAAAAAAAAAAAAAGAGAGAGAGAGAGAGAGAGAGAGAGAGAGAGAGAAGAGAGAAGTTGGAGTCAATCCCCTCAAACCTTGCTGCTTTTTAAAAGTCTATTTTTTTTTTTTTTTTTTTTAGTAATCTACACCCAACATGGGGCACAAACCCACAACCATGAGATCAAGAGTCACACTCTTCTAACTGAGCCAGCCAGGCACCTCCTTGCTGCTTTTATTAGTTCACTTTATGTGATACTCTAAATCCTTTGTTGTTATTTCAAGTCTTCACAACATTATTACAGAAGTAGATTCTATCTCAAGAAACTACTTTCTTGGGGTGCCTGGGTGGCTTGTGGTTGGGTGTGTCTGCCTTTGGCTCAGGTCGTAATCCTGGAGATCACGGTCCACATCGGGCTCTCCACTGGGAGCCTGCTTCTCCCTCTGCCTGTGTCTCTGCCCCCCCCCAGTCTCTCATGAATAAATAAATAAAATCTTTAAAACAAACACACAAACAAACAAACAAACTACTTTCTTGAGGCACCTGTGTGGTTCAAGGACTGAATGTCTGTCTTTGGCTCTGGTCCTGATCCCAGGCTCCTGGGATCAAGTCCTGCATCAGGCTTCTGGCAGGGAGCCTGCTTCTCCCTCTGCCTGTGTCTCTGCCTCGCATTCTGTGTCTCTCATGAATAAATAAAATCTTTAAAAAAAAGAAAAAGAAACAAGCTGCTTTCTTTGCTCATTCACAAGAAGCAAATTCTCATCTGTTAAAGTTACATCATGAGAGGCACCTGGGTGGCTTAGTTGGTTAAGCATCTGTCTTCAGCTCACGTCATAATCTCAGGTCCTGGGATCTGGCCCCAAGTAAGCTTCCTGCTCAACAGGGAATCTGCTTCTCCTTCTGTCGTGTTCTCTCTCTCTCTCTCTCTCTCTCTCTCTCTCTCTTTCTCTCTCAAATGAATGAATAAGTCTTAAAAAAAATTTTATCATGAGATTGTAGCAATTCAGCCACATCTTCAGGCTCACTCCACTTCTAATTCTAGTTCTCTTGCTATTTCTACCACATCCGCTATTACTTTCCCCACTGATCTTGAACTACTCAAAGGCATCCATGAGGGTTGGAATCAACTTCTTCCAAAATCTTGTTAATACTGACATTTTGACCTATTCCCATGAATCGTGAATGTTCTTAATGCCATCAAGAATGGTGAATTCTTTCCATAAGGTTTCAACTTACTCTGCCCAGATACATCAGAAGAATCATTATCTATGGCAGCTTTGGCCTTACAAAATGTATTTCTTAAACAGTATTACTTGGAAGTCAAAATGACTCCTTGATCCATGGGCTGCAGAATGGATGTTGTATTAGCAGGCATAAAAACATTAATCTTGGGACGCCTGGGTGGCCCGGCGGTTGGGTGTCTTTGGCTCAGGGCATGATTCTGGTTCTGGGATCGAGTCCCTCTGTCTGTGTGTCTGCCTCTGTGTGTCTCTCATGAATAAATAAAATCTTTAAAACAAAAACAAAAACATTAATTTTGTTGTACATTTTTATCAGAGCTCTTGGGTAACCAGCTGCACTGTCAATGAATAATAATGTTTTGAAAGGAATCTTTCTTTTCTGAGATTTCAACAGTGGACTTAAAATACTCAGTAAACCATGCTATCATCCAGGCTTTGTTTTCCCATTTACAGAGTACAGGCAGAGTAAATTTAACATAATTCTTAAGGGCCCAAGGATTTTCAGCATGGTCAGTGAGCACTGGCTTCAACTTAAAAGCCCCAGCTGCATTAGCTCCTAACAAGAGAGTCAATTTGTCCTTTGAAACTTTGAAGCCAGGCACTGACTTCTTTTCTCTAGCTATAAAAAGTTCAAGATGGCATCTTCTTCCAACATAAGACCGCTTCAATTACACTGAAAAGCTGTTTAATGTCACCACCTTCATTAGGTATCTTAGCTAGATCCTCTGGATATTTGCTGCAGCTTCTACAACCACACTTGATACTTCCCTTTCCACTTTAATGTTATGGAAATAGATTCTTAAACTTCCTGAACCCACATCTGCTGGCTTCAAACTTTTCTTCAACTTCCTCACCTTTCCCAGCCTTCACAGAATTGAAAAGAGTTAGGGCCTTCCTCTGGATTAGGCTTTGGCTTAAGGGAATGTTGTGTGGCTGCTTTGATCACCTGTTCAGGCCACTAAAACCTTCTCCATATCAGCAATAAGGCTGATTTGTTTTCATTTGTGTGTTCACTGAAGCAGCACTTTTAATTTTTTTCTTTGCATTCACAATTTGGTTAACTGCTGCAAGAGATCTAGCTTTCAGCCTATCTTGCCTTCCAACATGGCTTCCTCACTAAGCTTAATCATTTCTAGCTTTTGATTTAAAAATGAGAGATGTGCAACTCTTCCATTCACTTGAACACTTAAAGGCTACCAGAGGGTTATTAAGTGGCCTAATTTCAATATTGCTGTGTCTCAGAGAACAGAGAAGTCTGAGGGGAGAATGAGAGATGGGGGAACAGTCTGTTGGTAAAGCAGTCAGAACTGACACAACATTTATCAGTTAAGCTCACCGTCTTATATGTGCATGGTTCACGATGTCCCAAAACAATTACAATAGTATCAAAGGCGACTGATCATACATCAACATAACAAAAATAATAATGAAAAAGTGTGAACTACTGCAAAAATTACCAAAATGTGACACACAGACACAAAATGAGCAAACACTATTGGAAAAAATGGCACCAATAGACTTGCTCAACACAGGGTCACCACAAACCTTAAATCTGTAAAAAACACGGTATCAATAAAGCACAATAAAATGAAGTATGCGTGTATAAGTTTTTGAGAACTCTTATTATAGTTTTCCTAAACAACCTAAAATCTGTAAAACAATTTGTTAAAGGTACCCTACCTGAAATATCTGTAAGTATTAAATAAAATCTCCATAAAGCATTAGGTTGAAAGGAAAATCAAGTAACGATAAACACACTGGAACATGAAAAACTAAAAAATTTCCTTTACCACCATAATTCTTTATTAAGGAATATATTCAATGTTTACTAAGGGAAAATTATTCTTAAGTTTGAGTATATGTATCATCCTGTGGTAAATTAAGCTACCTTAAGGAAATTAAAGGTTATTCTATTAAGACAAACTTATTGGGCTTTATTACAAAAAAAAGACTGTTGTCATGGTGGATATTTTATCCACCAAAAGCCAGTCTGATTTTCCTTCACTACATCCCCTGCCCTTAAATGCTGACTTTTTGATATTTTATAACTTTATAGATCAACTAAAGCCATGATTCTTCCCACTACTCTCTAGATCTCTCCCACTCTATGCTGCTGAGCAACTATACCTCCCCCACACCAACAGAAGACTAACGGTGCAATCTCTGGAGAGGGTGAAACAGAGTATGCTTGGGTTTGAGTTCCATAGTGAAAACAGGGGGCAGTTAAGTGACACACTCCTTCTACTCTCAAAATATTGGCAGCCGGGTCTTTAACCTTTAGGCAGAAGAATCTGGCAGTGAAAAAGGAAAATTCCTAAATATACTAATATCTAGGGTTCCTCCAACAAATGCCCCACCAGATCACTTTACAGTGAAGCTCCAAGTCATAAACCCTATTCTCACGCTTAGAGCTTTCAATTAACTTTTTCGTTCTCCATTCTTAATTAAGAACAGATAACCAAGGATTACCAGATACTTGAGGAAATGAGAGACCAAAAATCAGAAAAGAGCACTTTAGAGGGAAAAGACTATGCAAAGAAAACAAAAACACTACCCAATATTTACTAAAAGGGGGATAAAATAGGGTATCCATGAAATAACAAGTTACTAAGAAATGAAAACTCAGTAGAAAGGCTGGAATATAAAGATGAAGAAAACTCAGTGAAACAAAATATAAGAGATAAAATAACAAGAGAAATTTAAAAATTAGAGGACTCATCCAGAAGGTCTAGCATCCAGAAAGAGAGAATAAGAACATAGAGAAGGGAAAGCCTCAAGAAAATAATTCAGAACTGAAGAACACACATTTCCATATTGAAAGAGCCCACTGAGTACCCACTACCATGGATGAAAACTAATTTGATACACCACTGTGAAATTTCAGAACACTGGGGACAAAGAAAAGAGCCTGCAAAAGCTTCCACATCCAAAGCATCAAGAATCATAATGGCTCCTAGCTTCTCAAAAGCAACACTGGAAGAGAATCTGGTAAAATGGAAAAAACACATCCTCTATGAACCAGCAATTTCATTCCTACATATATAACCCAGAAATTGTCCACATATGGCTCAGTCCATTAAGCAGCTGACACTTGATTTTGGCTCAGGTCATGATATCAGTGTAGTGAGATCAAGCCCCATAGGTCGGCTCCACATACACTCAGCACAGAGTCTGCTTGTCCCTTTCCCCTGCCTCTCTGCCCCTCCCCAACCCGCCTTGCATCCCTGTACCTGCACTCTCTCTCCATCTCTTTCTCAAATAAAATGTTAAAAATAAATAAATTGTCCACATAATAGCTGGGCTAAATTAGTAAAAGACAGTTCATAATAGCATTATTTCTAATAGCCCAAACTGGAATTAATCAAAATGTTTATCAAAAAAGAGATAAATTGAGGTATACAATAGAATATATCCTAAGCCTTTATGAAAAACTAAAACACAGCTATCTATAATACAAATGTATCTTACAAATATGATGTTAAGCAAAAGAAGCCAGAAACTGAAGAATTTATACAATATGATTCCACTGACATAAGATCAATAACAGGCAAAAAATAAACTGTATCATTCAGTGATACATACATAGATGGAAAAACTATATAAAGAAAAGAAGGGGGCAGCCTGGGTGGCTCCGTGGTCTAATGCCGCCTTCATCCCAGGGCCTGATCCTGGAGACCTGGGATTGAGTCCCACACTGGGCTCCCTGCATGGAGCCTGCTTCTCCCTCTGCCTGTGTCTCTGCCTCTCTCTCTGTGTGTGTCTCTCATGAATAAATAAATAAAATCTTTAAAAAAAAAAAAAAGAGGGGAATGATTAACCAAAAGTCAAGGTAAGTGGTGAGTTGTGATTGAGAGAGAAATATGAGCAACTACTGGAGTGCCTTCAATATTCTACTTTTTGACCTGTGTGGAGATTACACAAAGAAACGTTTTATTATTTTTTTAGTAATGGAATGGTGGAAGATATGTTCCACCAAGAGGGCGTAAACCCAAAGAAGATGACGAGACCTAAGAAATGGGACGCCTCAGGGGTGCCTGGGTGGTTTAGTTGATTAGCATCTGGCTCTTGGTTTGGGCGCGTGTCATGATCTCAGGATTGCTGCAGAGTCTAGCCCTATGTCAGATTTCTTGCTCATTGCAGAATCTGCTTGGGATTCTCTCTCTCCCTCAGCCCCTCCCCAACTCAAATAAATAATTTAAAAACAAACAAACAAACAGGAATTCAAACGCAAGAAGAAAGGTAAAGAAAAGTTCCATGGTAATAGCTGTGTAATAGCCTAGATAAGAGGATCACTAACTCCTAGAAGGGTATCTCCAAGGGGAGGAAAAAAAAAGATTATCTGATGTAGCTGACTTTGTAAAAAACTGATAACCAAGTGTATATGGGGAAGAATTAGCAAAAGGTATAAATAAAACTAAAGAAATGACAAAGCAAATATTAACCTCCAGAAAAAAAACAAAAGAAATAATCATATGTACAGTACATTGCTCAGCTGAGAATATTTACATGCACCAACAGTTCTTAAAGTGTGGTCTAAAGATCCCTCGATTTCTGCTTTCAAAGAATCCATGTTGGCAAAACTATTTTCATAATAATCAAAAATATCTGTCTTTTCCACTTGGGCTGACATTTGCACTGATGATACAAAAGCAATGGTGGGTAAAAACTGCTAGTGCTTTAGTACAAATCAAGGCAGAGCATCAACTGTATTTATTAGTAGTTGTATTCTTCACCATCTCATACTGCAAGTTTGGGGGAAAAATGTCATTTTGAGTTAAGAATGTCCTTGATGAAACAATAAAAATTATTGATTTCATTAAATCTCAATCTTTGAGTATATATACTTACATTTTAAAAAACATTCTACATGATTAATGGGAAGTATGCAAATATTCTACAGAATGAATTGTGATAGTTGGAGGAAAAGCTCTTGTGTTTGAGTTGCAAACTAGTTTTTTTTTTTTTTTTTAAGGAATGACAGGAAACTTATTTGGGATATTTGATAGATGTTTTCTCAAAACGAATAAAGGGAGCCTATCATTTTCAAGGAATATAATCAGTAGTATTTGTTGTCAATGATAAAATTTGAGCTTTCAAGTGAAAATGAGAATTGTATCCATTACCATGAACTTGACATTTTCCCAATACTGATGACTGGTGATGATATTAGTAAATGTGATTTGGAAGATCTGCTTATTTCCAAGAGCCAGTATTTTTCAAATGACCAATTTATGATGTTTAAAAACAACTGTTGAATAAAAATTCCACTTATAGTTCAAGATAGATCAATGAGATTTTACTGTAATGAAGTAGGAAAAGTTCACTGACGTGGTTTCCAATAAGCTTTAAGTAACCATCACTTGTTGGGTTTTAGTGAAATAGCAAAGAATATTCACAATTACCTGGAAAGGCTATTAACATACTCCTATTTCTTCCAACAATTTATCTGACTGAGACCAGGTTTTCTTCATATATTTCAACTAAAAAAATATACCATAATTGATTAAATACAAAAGCAAGTAGATATGATAATCCAGCTACCTTCTAAGTAAGCTGCATATTAGATTTTTCAAAAAAATGTCAATCAATGCTCATTCTCACTAAATCTTTTGAAAATATAATTTTCATAAAAATTTTATCTGACCATGTGATAAGTTTATTATTTGAAGTAATAAATGAGTTTTTAAAAATTTCTTACTTTTAATTTCTAACAAAGTAAAAATATTGAATGATAAAGCCTAAATAAACAAAACCTGTTTGAGGTTATAAGAGGGTAAAGGATTTTCTCCCCTAGACATAATTTATTTTTGCATAGGCATAAATTAGAATTGAGAAGTAAAAAAATTAGGAATCAATAATGCAGGGGCACCTGGGTGGCTCAGTCAGTTAAGCATTCAATTCTTGATTTTGGCTCAAGTCATGATCCCAGGGTTGTGAGATGGAGCCCCATCTGGAACCTTCTTTTTTTTTTTTTTTTTTAAAGGTTTTTTATTTATTTATTTACGATAGTCACAGAGAGAGAGAGAGAGGCAGAGACACAGGCAGAGGGAGAAGCAGGCTCCATGCACCGGGAGCCCGATGTGGGATTCGATCCCGGGTCTCCAGGATCGCGCCCTGGGCCAAAGGCAGGCGCCAAACCGCTGCGCCACCCAGGGATCCCCTGGAACCTTCTTAAGATTCTCTCTCCCCATCTCCTTTTGCCCCTTCCCTCCATCTCTAAAAGAAAAAAAAAAAATCAATAGTGCAGAATTTGTAACAAGAGGGATTCTGAAACCAAAAATTTGAGAACTGCAGGCATCAGTATCATAATAAAAACTAAATATGGATTTAACCAAAATTGCTAAATATTATTTTGGGAAGGTGGAAGAAAAGTAGAGTTCATCAAGATGGCTAATAAAAGTAAGATAGAAACGTCCCCTGAGCTACTTGCCAAAGATAAATACTTTGAAGATCATGGTTCTACTTATCTAACAAACCTCATTTCATTCTAACCTGTAATGTCTGTCTTACTAAACGATGATCTCCTTAAAGCCAGAGATGTGTTCTTCTTCACTTCTGTACCCTTGCAGGCCTCATTACAGTCTGTACCATACAGCAAGTATTTACTAATTATTTAACTCAATGAATGAAAAAATGAATGAAATAATCCAATTCACAAAATTAGGTCCTATTAGAGCAAATAACAGTTTCTTCCATTTTTAAAACTTTTTAAAAAGATTTTATTTATTTGAGAGAGAGAGAAGAGAGTGTGTGCTCACCATGGGTATGAGAGAGCATAAGCTGGAGGAGGGGCAGAGGGAGAGGGAGAAGCAGACACCCCACTGAGCGGGGAGCCAGATGTGGGGCTCCATCCCAGGACCCCAGGATCATGACCTGAGCCAAAGGTAGACACTTAACTGACTAAGCCACTCAGGCACCCTCACTTTTAAAACTTAAATAGGAATATTGGAAAGTCATGTTCCAAACTTCAATGAGATCGTCATTCAGGGCATACTTGTATTAGTGATTCTGTGACTCTGAGACCACTATTATGTAAATACACAAGAACAAACACACACACACACACACACACACACACACACACACACGTTTTCCTGTTTGTTGTAACTTACAGCAAATACTGCTGAATTTCAAGAACAAAGATTTTTTTTTTCTCTCCCCTATTCCTCACTGCCCCCTCGCCTTTCAATCGTTGTTGACTTCTTCGACCCCTTAGTCCTTTTGGATTACACGTCAGTTTTGTGTACCATCATCACCCATCTTTAGGTTATTAGCATGACCAATGAGCAGTTCCCAGAACCTATAGAGAAACTAGAGAAAAATAATCTTACCAATAGTATGATTCCCATAAAGGAGCTGCTCCAAAATTGCTGTCTTCCCCACAGATAACAACCCACAGACCACAACTTTGCAGCCCTTTCCCATCTTCTCTCAGGATAGATCACTGTAAAGAGAACAAAAGATCTGTGAAACTGTATACTGTTCGAATCAACTTCTTTCTTTCTATAAACCATACACACACAGGAGAAAATTTCAAAAATAAAAAAGGATATATACAATAAGACATACCCTTCCAAATCCCATTCCTAGTCTCCCATTTGCTCCCTTAAAGCAATAGTATTAACAGTTTCTTATGCATTTTTGCACAGGTAATCTAGGTAAATGTAAGAACACATGTAGATATAAATACATGTTTTTCTTTCAAAACAAAAGAAACATTTTATACAAAGAATATTTCAACCCTAATTAAGTCTACAGGAATCTGAATCAAATCCTAGGTGAAACCAATCCTTGAAAGACACTGCCTGCTATTTACCTGGAAAAAAAAATCAAACACTTAAGCAAAAATTTAAAGAGGCACGAAGATAAAAATTCAGAGAATGTACATGATTTTTTAGAGGAACATTAATGATATTATTGCCATGAGGCTTTTCTCAGGAGAGTGAAAAACTGGATTTCAGTCTCCACATGGCCTCTCTGTCATACTTCTTTTTGAGTCATTCTTCTTCCTCCTCCTTCTTCTTCTTCCCTTCTCCTTCTCCTTCTTCTTCTTAAGATTTTATTTGATAGAGAGAGAGCACAAGCAAGGGGGAGGGTGGGCAGGAGAGGGAGAGGGAGAAGCAGACTCCCTGCTGAGGGGCTGGATTCCTGAGGCTGGGATCAGGAAGTGAGCGGAGTCATACTTCTTAATGCTAGAAAAATTGCTCATCCTAACACATCCAAGGAAGAGCACAATAGGGTAACATTCTCTCTAATTTTCCCTGAAGCTTTTATTTTCCAGAAGTCAAGGTACCAAAAGCCAGAGCAGAAAGGGAAAAAAGCTCACTGAATACAAAAGAATAACCTGATAAGAGAATTTAAATTTCTATACTGTCTTTTGCCATCTCCATCACCTTATTTCCCTCAATTCTCTTCTTACTTAGAAGTGTAGAATATGCAATAACTCTGACTAAAAGGGATGTTACAACTCCTTGAAGTCAGAAAATACTACACCAAGAAAGTTCAGAGGCACTTGGGTGGCTCAGTTAAGTGTCTGCCAGGTGATGATACTTTCCTCCTGGGAAGGAGCCCTACATTGGGGTCCCCGCTCAGTGGGGAGTCTGCTTCTCCCTCTTCCTCTCCCTCTGCCCCTAACCCTGCTCATGCTCCCTCTCAAATAAATGAATAAATAAATAAATAAATAAATAAATAAAATATATTTTTTAAAATTCAGATAAGCATTCAAAGGGCTGCCACATACCTTTCTGTGTATGCATGTGTTTTTACATCTGTACTGGATGTTTTAACCAACACTAAAAATATTAAGCAACAAACTTTCCATAACTCTATTTCCTCAAAGTCTGTAATATTTATTTATTTTACAGAGAGAGACAGAGATAGAGCACGCATGTGTGCAAGCCAAGGTGGGAGGGGCAGAGAATCTATTTTTAAGTTTTCTTTTTCTTTTTTTTAAGATTTATTTATTTTAGAGAAAGAGCATTGGGAAGGAGAGGGAGAGAGAATCTCAAGCAGACTCTGTGCTGAGCGCTGCCCAACACAGGGCCCCATGCAGGGATTGATCAGCATGACCCTGAGATCAGACCCAAGCTGAAACCAAGAGACACTTAACTGACTAAGCCATCCACGCACCCCAAGTCTATAATATTTTATGACCCCAAATCAGCCCAAACACTAATCTGACAGGAAAAATTTTACTGCTACCATTATTGTAGCAAAGTAATAACACAGTGGATTTCCAGAGCAATACGCTATGTTTTACCAGTAAAGAAATAATCATCATTTATGTAATGCAGTCATTATTTCGTGGTGGTATACCTAAGATCCTTCCAAATCTTCCCTATAATATTTATCACTTATTTCTATGAGAACTACTTCTCTTAAGAGACACACACACACATATATTTAAGTAATCTCTATGCCTAATGTGGGACTGAAACTCATGACCTGAGATTGGAAAGTCATGTTCCAAACTTCAATGAGATCGTCATTCAGGGCATACTTATATTAGTGATTCTGTGACTCTGAGACCACTATTATGTAAATACACAAGAACAAACACACACACACACACACACACACACACACACACACACACACACACATGCTCTACCACCTGATCCAGCCAGGAGCGTCTCCTTTTTAAAATATATTTTCAACACAACTGCAATAGAAAAATTCTCAGCCTGTATTTGTAAGGGGAGAGCTTTGTGTCATACTGATCGTCTATGGTGTGATATCTCCTATGTCAGCAACTTTGGACTATTTTATTTTTTTTAAGATTTTACTTATTTATGAGAAACAGAGAGAAGCAGAGACATAGGCAGAGGGAGAAGCAGGCTCCTTGTGGGGAGCCTGATGCAGGACTCAATCCCAGAACCCCAGGATCCTGCCCTGAGCTGAATGCAGACACTCAACCATTGAGCCACCCAGGCATCCCACTATGGACTATTTTAAAAGGTTTTCTACATCTGAATTTATGATTAATCTAGTGTCATCTCATTTATCATAGGATTCTACTCTTTCTGCATATTGTGGTCTCCTGTAACTTTATGATATCATTGAATCTTTCTTTCAAAGTTTTTTTAATGATAGTTAAAATTGAAAGGAAGTAGCCACTTAACCACATGCCACCAACGAAAAGGATGAAAAAGAAATCTGTCAAAGAAAAATGTTAGCAGCACAGAACAATTCTATTGTCAGAAAAGGTTGCTACTGGAATCTAAATTCTAATTTTTCTATTGATTTTTTCCCTTCCTCTAAAAATGTATTAGTCCCAGTGGAATTTCTTTTTCTTTTTCTTTCTTTTTTTTTTTAATTCATGATAGACATAGAGAGAGAGAGGCAGAGACACAGGCAGAGGGAGAAGCAGGTTCCATGCCGGGAGCCTGATGCGGGACTCGATCCCGGGACTCCAGGATCACGCCCCGGGCCAAAGGCAGGCGCCAAACCGCTGAGCCACCCAGGGATCCCCTGGAATTTCTCAATACTAATACTTACCTTCTCTCCTCTTGCTGTTCAATCAAAAAATGTCCCTTTACCATACATTACACATTATATCAATCTTCAAACAAACACAAGTGCTTTAAAAGGGCAGGTACAAGTTGTAGTTAAGTGAACCAGGTAGTTAAAAGAAAAAAACGCCCCAATTATTAATAACAACAGACACTCCCCCCCAATAAAAGGGAGGCAAATATGATTTCTGGGGACTGCAGCAAACTGGGAAAATGCTGAAACCAACAGAATCCTGAGAAATCCAGAAATCAAATATTCCAGTCTTGGAAGTGGTCTCAATATATTTGCTTTAAAAGTGGCATTCTACAATTGCACTTTGATCACTCACTAATATTAGGATTAGCAGATGAAGTGTCTTAAAAGTATACATTACTTTGGGATACCTGGGTGGCTCCTGTATTTGAGTGTCTGCCTTTGGCTCAGATCGTGATTCTGGGGTCCTGGGATCAAGTCTGGCATCAGGCTCCCCCGAGGGAGCCTGCTTCTCCCTCTGCCTATGTCTCTGCCTCTCTCTGTGTCTCTCTCATAAATAAATAAGTAAAACCTTTAAAAAATATATACATTACTTTGAATGTATGTGTGTATATAAATAAACTGGGAGAGTTGTTTCAGTATCCAGAGAATCTCCATCAAGGCAAATAGTAAAAATAACTGAATAGAGGTTACTCAAACACTAGGTAAGGATTTGAAGGTATTTTACAAGGAAAGAAGCAAGATGAAACAGAATAATCCGTGTTAAATATTTTATACCATCAAAAACAAAAGGAAGATAAAAGGATAAATGTAATTAATCCAAGCATAACTGAAACATTCTAGGTTTTTAGCTGTCTTCAAGTGGGAAACAATAATACTACCTAAAGCTGAAGATTAGCAACTTGCTAATTAAAGTATTAATTAAAAAAAATTCATATCTAATGTTTTTTTGTAGGCTCCACACCTAGCATGCAGCCCAATGTGGGGCTTGAACTCATAACCTGGAGATCAAGATCTGGGCTGAAGGGTTAGATACTTAAGTGACTGAGCCACCCAGGGACCCCAGATACTATCTAATGTAAAATACTAGTTAGAACTACTTGGTACAGTCCCCACCCTAAGTAACTGCTGGACAATAAAATTCAATCTGTGATCTATTAATCCTCATCTGATATAAATGACTTGAGAATATACTTAACAGGCAAAAATCCAAAGCAGTCTTAACTGCATATTGCTTTGCTTTCCAGGCTAATCAATAATGTTTCTAGAGAATAAAAAGGTGACTTGATCCATTTCTGTGGAAAACACTGAGCTTGGTAAATAAATAATCCCTTTAAAGAGTTATCAGAAACAGCTGCCCAAAGCTGTCGTACTTCTGTTTTTCTAAGGAAATTATTCTACTTTTATAAGTAAAACACTTTAATGCTACCAAAACAATATTGATACTGAAACACTTAACATCATAGAGAGATGTCATAGATCATATTATGAAGCCTCACATGAAGAAAATTTCTACACTGTGTATTTATTATTAATGCAAACATCAGGTACTGGGTATAACACTTTTAATTATCCATTAATAAAAAATTTATATAAACATTTTAAAAGTTTTGCAAGCAATATTGCACATAATATAATGAGCAGATTCCAGCTTACCATTATTTTCTAATTTTTAATTTTTTTACTTTTTAATAAATTTTATCTTATTTTTACCATTCTTTTATTCACTAAGTATTTATTGACGTCTTACCATAATGCCAGGCATAAGGGACAAACTAGGGAGCAAAACCAGAAATGATACCTGCCCTCAGAAATCTCAGAATCAATTGGAAATACCAATCCAAATCTTGCAAAACTCCTGAGAAACTGCAAATTGCAAATGAAGACACAAAACTGCAAAAACTAATTAGGAAAT